ATGCATGGTTGACCCCCCCACTCCCAGCCAGCCTGGAAAGCAGGGGTCCCAGCCCTCTCAGAATAGCCAGGGCACAGCCAGGGAGTGTCCTCTAAACTGTCCTTGAGGATTAGGCACCAGAGGGCCACTTCCAGCCTTGCAGTACCCATTCTGAAGGAGGACATAGAATGGGACAGGGTGGGTAAACAGGCTTAAGGATATCTGGGGACACAGGCTGGAATCTCGGGGCCAAGGGCAACAGTTTGTCTGCTAGGGTAGCAGTTTCTGCTGCAAGTTCTGAGGAAACCCTGGAGGAACCTGCCTGAGCAGGAGCTGGTGACCCAGGGCAGACCCCCTCTCCTCCACGGTGCCTCAGAAGTTAACAGAATGTCGCTTCCCCACTGCACCTGACATTTTTCAGGCACGGGGCCCTGCCACATTGGCAGGCATGTACTGAGAGTCCTTAGAATGCAATGGGGACCAGCCCACGGCCTAGGGGGTGATGAAGAGCAGCAGAGAGCTGATTTCTAAGGGCCCCCTCAGCGTCAGCAGGACAGGCCAGGGCTAAGAGCATGGAGAACTCACTGAAGTTAAATTCTAAGTTTTCCCTCTTGAGCTAGACTACCACAGTCCAGGGGAGAGGCTGGGAAGGCCCTGCACAAGCTCCTGAATACCCGAATGCCACCCCTGCTTCCTGCCCACTGCCTCCTGGTTTCTGCTGTCTGGCCACCTTTATCCTGGATTTTTCTTCCTTTCCATTTGGATCTGGTTAGAGGAGGCAGAGATGGCTTAAGAAAAAGAAATAAATAGCACACATTTTAAAAATTCAGGGCCAGAACTATGCAAAATTGAGTGTAAAATTGACAGCTCCCTCTGTTGCCAACTTTAGCGATCAGAATGGACATTAAACAAAGAGACAGCTGCCATGTCCCCTTCAAGTCTGATGGGACTGTGTGCTTGCTTGCGGCAGGAGTAGATAGGACAATATAATGGTGAAGGAGAGGGGGGCTCTGGGCCTCAGTTTCTCATCACTGGGAAAGTAATATGTATGTCTAATATTTTTAAATAGTGTTATCACATGGGAGTGTGCAGAGATGGAATAAAGTAGTGCTAGAGCACAGGCCTGTTGGCTCTGCAGGACTAAGGCCCTACACATGTGAGGGACTTGGAAGGTACAGTGTCTCCACCCTTTTGGACATAGCAAGTCCAGGGCACTCCTGAGAATCTTTGTGTCTCAGTGAGGGGCAGGGCCTGAGATAAATCTGCCATTCTGCTTCCCGCCCACCACCTCCTGGTTTCTGCTGCCTGGCTGCCTTTATCCTGGACTTTATTTCCTCTTTTCCATTTGGCTCTGGTTAGAGGAGACAGAGATAGTTTAAGGTAAAGAAAGTAAATGGTATACATTTTTTAAAATTCAGGGCCAGAACTATGCAATATTGGTGTTTTCTGGGCTGAGGAAGGGGTACAGAGGCTGTGCTTAGCCCGCTGTCTGCATATTCCAGTCCCTCTGCCAAATACTGCGAACTTCATCCGCACAGAACTCCATTTGAAACAGCATTCCCATGACTGGTCCCTCCTCAGTCTGTTCTGATTTCAGGGTACCCAAAAGGCTGCAGGGCTGTGGAAGACAAGCTGTGAACCAAGGCAGTGAGTTGAAGGCAAGCTCTAACAGCAATGGCTGAAAGCCTGGGGTGGGGTGGGCACTGGGCCCCACAGAAAGGGTTGTAGGTGGGGGTGTCCAGGAGTTCCTGTGCTATTAGCTGCAGCTGGCCTGGAGGGAGAGAGATGCTCACTGGGGAATGGCCAGATCATTGAAAAATACTCTGTTTTATAGCCCACTCCTACTCTCAGAATCTCTTGGGTTGAGCTATGCTTACCTTTTGGACAGTCCACAAGGGGCCACTCACATTCTATGGCCAAAGGTGGTGGTGGGTGATGCTTGAAAGGACTGAGGTTCAGTCTAGGGTCAGGGGCAGGGTCAATCTGTGACCAGGATTAAAGGTCAATCCGGGATTAGGCTCAGGGTTCTGTTTTAGGTCAGGGTTATGGATTCAGGCTGAGGCCTGGCTCAGGACTCAGTCTGGGGCCAGGGGCAGAAGTCCGTCTGAGGCAGGTGAAAGGATGCCCTCTAATGGAGTTTGACTGGTGAAGATGGCTGCTGACCTTTCTCTATCCTAGCCCCTCCTAGGGAATTCCTCCTAGGCAGCCCCTCCTCGGCAAGTCCTAGGGAATTATACTATTACAGCTTTCTTTCTCTTTTTTCCTACGTGCTTTTTGGGATTTGAGGAGAGAGATGGTTCCAATTAGGAAATCCAGCAGCTATTGCTGTGGGGCTGTGCTGTCCCTGTAGACATTTCCCAGGCCCCCAGTTGGTAGACCGGCAATAAGGACTCAGAATGACTTCCCCAAGCCCCCTCCCACCTCCCACTGTACACCTGAACAGGAGAAGAGGATGAAAGTGCACAAAAGCCATTCCCCAGGAATAAGGGCAGGGGAGGAGAGGGCAGCTAGACTGGGGAGACTTCTGGGCTGTGATCCCCAGAGACACCTCCTATGGACTTTTGAGCTTGGTGGCTGGGATGCTGGTGTTGCACGAATTTATTGACAATGATTCCCTAAGTGTATATGCCTCAGTATGTGTGTGTGTGCACTCAGTATTTGCCTGTGCATTTATTTGCATTTCTATACAGCTGTGTGCCCATCCTTTCAGAGATGGATATCTCCGAGGGTGGGTTCCCCAGGGTCATCTTGCCCATTTCACCACCTCAGGGCCAATGCTGTTCCCAAGGGTCAGGCTAGGTTCTTAAGTCTCTTTAAAACAACAGACTTCAACGATCTTGCCCAGCCCCATTCTTGCCCAGCTTCATCCTGAGATGGGGAGCAAAGTAGTGCAGCCTCACCACTCTCGGGTACCCTATCCAGTTAACTGTTGCCTGAAACTTCCCTACTGTCAAAGTGTGCCCTGACTCTCTGTTTCTGGGCGCCACTCTTGGGGAGCTACAAGCAAGCCCTTAAAGGTTGAACTCCCACTGTGAAAGACTGGGGAAAAGGGGGGCAAGAATTGCTTCCCCGAGTATGTAGTACCCCAACTTCCCACCAGGTGGGGTTCCAAGGCTGAGAGTGAGAGTCGAGATGACAGAGAAGCAGCAAGCCACCAGCTTTTAAATCACCACCCGCCACATCAACCTCCCAAGCGCTCACACAGGGAGGTACAGCACATATGCTCGCACCTTAGACGCTCACACACATTCTCTTCTAGTGAGCTCCAAAACAGAACACGATTGGACTCAGGGGAGGTGTTAAAGGGGGAGGCTAGTTTCGTTTACGCACACCGTCCTTAACTGAAGGTGGGCTATCAAGTCCTCTGCCTTGGGAGTGCGAAAGTGAACGACAGAGACAAGGCCGGGGGAAACAGGACCTACGGGAAAGGGCGAGCCAGGCACTAGCCAGACCAAGTCGGGGTTGGCACGAAGAGCTCCGTATATCGCTGACACGAGGAGGAGAGGCCAGATGACAGAAGGATGCGCAGACCCACATACAGCTCCGGAGAGCACACACAAACCCGCAGACAGACCACACAGCTCCACAGACGTCGGGCCGACCCAGGGACACACACGCTCGCGCACACAGGTGCGGCCCCGGGCCACACGCACATCTCGCACAGGCACGCGCGCCGGGCTCTCTGCCGCCGGCTGGGAGAAGGTGGCCGCGTTCACACGGCATGTTTATTTACTCAATTGTATCAGTGAACGTTTGTACCCAACTCCTCCTGCCTCCGGGTACCAGGGCCGCCGCATTTGTTCTCGGCGAGGGACACTCACCGTGACCATCAACGGGGTTCCTCCGACGCTGCAGGGGACAGAGGGGATTACAAAGTTAGGAGATCTCGAAGTGTCCGAGTGGAGGGGCTGCAGTGTCAGCGGCCCGGGACGCTTACAGGAAGAGGGGAACATGGAGGGCTTGTAGGGTCAGAGACATACGGAGCGGGCACAGAGACCTTGGAATCCGAATTAGGGGATGTATGGATCGGGATGGGGGACGGCGACTAGGAGGCATTGGGAGAGGCATGTGGAAAGGCCGAGAGGTCCCAGTAGATAGTAGCCGGCGGGGTTCGGCGGAATAGGAGCTCGGGACCCTAAGCACAGGTTCAGGGCCTTTTGGTGCCCCTCAATCGCCGCCGGGGCGATAGCTCAGGTGGGACTGCCCGAGGCGAGAGGAGGGGGCCGGGAACCGAAGAGGGAGGGAAGAAGCTCAGCAGCCAAGCGGGCACCGTGCGAGTGTGCACCGTGTGTGTGTGTGTGTGATCTCGTTCATCTGTAGGTGCCGGATTCAGCGAGACGCCAAAGAAGGAAGAAGAGGCGAGAGGTGAACTGAGTTTGATCCTGCGGCGGCCACAAGTGGGTCCCGGGCGGGCGGCGGGCGGCGGGGCGGGGCGGGAGGCCGGCGGGCGCTCACACGCTCCGGCCGTCGGCCTCTCACCACGCCTCCAGCTTTGTAAGCGCTGGGGGGTGGGGGGCCGGGCTGCCTGAGCGCCCACGGCGCAGCCTCCCGCCTCTATATAAACACACGCATCGCCCCGCTTTGGACTCAAATTCAACATTGCGAGAAGCTTTTTAAGCCACCAGCCCTGAAATCCTGCCTCCCGCTTTTCCCCTCTTTCATTCCTTTTACCTTCCTTTCTTTTCCTCCCTTTCTTCCCCCAGCAGCAACTCCAGAGCCGAGAGACCGCGTCCCGGGACGGACTGCCTTTTCCTAATTGACAATAGCCCGGCTCGGGTTTTCACCTCCTCCCCCACCCCCACCGCCTCACCCCTCCCGCCGCCGCCGCCGCCCAGCGCCCGCCCGGGGCTCTGTCGCCGGCCGCGTCCCAGCCCGGCCGCGGTCCGTCGGCTCTGCACCCGCGCGCCCGCCGCCGCGCCCGCCGCGCCGCCTGGCCCGCCGCGCCCGCCTCGGCGGCGCAGCGGAGCTCTGGGCTCGGGTGCGCCGCCTGGGTAGCCCAGGGACCTGGGCTCGGGCCTCTCCGTCGCCTCAGCTGGGGAGCTTTGCCCTTCGTCCCCAAAGTTTTTGGGTTCGTTGGAATTTTTGGATTGAGGACTTTTCTTTTTTTTTCCACCTGGGAATTTGAGGGGGAAACTTGACAAGCGGATCGCACTTTCCTCTCCGCTAGTTCTCTGTCCCCCTTCTTTTTTTTTTTCGAGCAGGGAAAGGGGCTTACGAGAGAGGCTCCTGCTGGCCAAAATTTTTCAAAGTTTTCCGAGTGTGATGGTTGCGGGGAGATCTGATCCACCAGCTTGATTCACGGCTTCATCTAACCACCCCTCGGGAAGCCCCTAAGCCCGCTATAAGAGAACAAACAAACAAACAAACAAACAAAAAGTTACACTCCGAGTCGCCTCGTGTCTCCTCTCTCTCCTCCTTTAGGCAATTTTTTTTCTCCGTCTCTCCGCTCCCCTTGCAGCCTCCACTCCCCTTCCCTCGGCCCCTTCCTCCTCTGTTCGGCTGGAGGTGCCAGGACCCCGGCCTCAGCCTCCCCTCCCCCGCCGCTCGCGTCCCTTCTCGTCCGGCCCTCCCCTCCCCCGCCGCGGCCAGCACAGCCAATCCCCCGAGCGGCCGCCAACATGCTCTTTGAGGGCTTGGAGCTGGTGTCGGCGCTGGCCACCCTCGCCGCGTGCCTAGTGTCGGTGACGCTGCTGCTGGCCGTGTCGCAGCAGCTGTGGCAGCTGCGCTGGGCCGCCACCCGCGACAAGAGCTGCAAACTGCCCATCCCCAAGGGTTCCATGGGCTTCCCGCTCATCGGAGAGACCGGCCACTGGCTGCTACAGGTAAGGGCGCGCTCGCTCCGCTGCTCTCCGGGGTCCGCTATTGGCACGCGCCGGGCCGATGGAGCCGCGAGCAGGCCAGGGGGCGCCGGGAGCCTGGAAGTCCGGATCCCCGCCCCTCCCCTTCCCTCTTCTCTGCCGTCTTTGCCCGGGCTTCCCCTGCCTGCCTGCGGCGTGGTTCGGAGCCCGCTGGCGCCGGGTGCGCAGGTTCGGGGGGTTGATAAGAAAGATCCCCTGAACCCGAGAGGTCCCCAAGACTGACTTTTCTCAGTCTACGGCGACCCAGCAAGGGGGTGCGGACCATCCTGGGAGTTCCCCTTACGGCACCGAAAGGGCGTCGGGTGGTGAGCCACTTTTGCCTCTCCTGCGCGCTCCAGGCCCTAGTCGCCGTAGGCCTCTTGTGCTTTGGCGGTGTCATTGGATCCCGACCACAGAGTTGGGGAGAGTGGAGGGGGCCAGTGCCAGCCAGAATTGCGCCCTTTTAAGACCCGGGCTGTGTTCCCGCCGCGTCGTCGGCTGCTGCCCTAGGTCCGATAAGAGAGAGAGAGAGAGAGAGAGAGAGAGAGTGTGAGTGTGTGTGGTAGGGGAGGAAGGAGGTAACCCAGGGAAAAGGAGAAGCCTACACATGAGGGTCCTCGGCTTTTGGGGAAAAGGGTCTATTTACTTCTTGGATGGGGACAGTTTAGCAGGGGAGATAAATTTGGGATTGGTGTGTGTGTGAGATGCGTGGAGTGGGTATTTGTTAGCCACTGCACAAACCCCACACTGTTGGTGATAATGGGCATGGGAGAGTCAGGGACCAGACCCAGGTAGGTAATGGGGAGATTAACCTGGAATTAACCTCGTCAAGTGCTAGACATCACTTTGCAATTTGATACACACCAGGTTTTTTCCTGGGGCGGGAGAAGGGGGGTGCTTCTTGGCTAACAGCATAAGGTGTGTTGTGTGCGCATGTGAACGCGTGTTTGTCGGGCGGATGCTGATGGTAGTTAGAAGGCTGGATGTTCTCAAAGACAACCTCCGCACCGGAGAGCTGAGGCTGGAGGTGAACCCAGAGACCTGTGGGATTAGAAGTGCAAAAACTTGGCTTGAAATTAACAGACGCGTGCAACCCTCGCGCACACACGGACTTGCGGCCCAGCCCCGCCCCACGCCAAGTGACCGCCGAGCGGGACTAGGAAGGGGGATGCTAAGGTGGTCTTCCCAAGTCCCGGAATCAGCCCCATCTCTTGTGGGGATTATTCGTGCAGCGGGGTGGAGTTCACTTCAACTAAAGGGATGCCCCCACCCACCCCACGCCGTAAAGAAATCCCCAGAGCCTCTCTCTCCGTGCCGCCACACTTACAGGGTTAACTGCAGCAGTGGTCTCGGCTTTGGGCCGAGGATTTAGGAAATAAAATAACTCACATGGGCTTTGGCTCCTGTCTTGTTAGAGCGAATCTGCGGAATTTGCCGTGCGTGCTCGACTCCATCTCCCCACCCCGCCTTTTCTGACCTTTCTTTGCTCCCCATCCCCACCATGCTCCCCCCATCCCCACTATGCTCCCTTGACCTTTTCTTCGAATCCCACAAGGGCGCCTGGGTCTCTGTGTCAAGTAAGCACAGAAGATGGGGACTGGAAGACAGTTTCCCATCCATACATCCCCTGGAGCCCTAGAATCCACGGTGGGAGAGAAATGGGGAATACGGGTAGAGGAGCGCTGAAGGGGTTAACGGGAGCTTTCTGAATCCCAGCTTTATTTTTTCGGAGTCATTTATCAGATTTTACGGGGAGACCTCCAAGGGCTCTCCGTTTCCACCGTGCGCCATCTAAACAGAGCCCAGGGCTAAAAATACAACATTTTTGTATAAATTGGACTCGCGGCCCGAGCGGCTGCCCCTATGAAAGTCCTCTTTGTGAAGACCGTGGAAACGGCGGACAAATAACTCTTTATTAATGCCACAAAAAACGCACTTTAATTATAGTTAGGCAGATCAGAGGCGGGAGGGGGGCAGCGGGAGAGAGGCGGCAGCGACCTCGGAAAATTCACAGCCCAACTTTTGTGTCGAAAGAAAAGAAAAACAGAGGAAAAGAAGGAGAGGAGAGACTGAGAGTCAGACAGCGAGGGAGACGGGTATAGCAGACGGAGGGAGGGGACCGCGCTCCTCACTCCTCACCCTTTGTCGCACCTCCACCCGCGCCTTGATTTCTCTTAAAGGGGTAGACGCGGTCCAGACCGGCTGCTTGGTTGCGGGGGTGTTCTCCCCGACCAACCAACCTGCAAGTGGGGCGGTGTCCGCCGCGGCCCAGCCCCCCTCCTGGAAGCAAGGGCAATGCGGGCTCGCTCCCTGTTGCGCGCCGGGGCCGGAGGCGCATTTGGGAAAATTATTAGGGCTCTGGGTTCTGTAGTCACTTTTCGGCAGTGCTGGAGTATGTACATACCTACCTGGAAAATACTTTTCCATAGAAGGAGAGCGAGGAGGAGGACCAACCCGGAAAAAAGGGAAACCGAGTTGTCCTTGGGGGTGCAGGACCCCATTGGTCGGGAGCCCACATCCGCACGTCTGTTGACTAGCAGGCGGGACGGCCAGATAGGTGGTGTCCCTCCTCTTCTCACCCGGGGCCGCCCTGGCAGAAGAAGGGTTAATGTGGGGTGGGGTGGCGAGCGGGGAAGTCAAAGGTGAGCAGGACGCCCCTGCCCCTGCCCCTCGGAGATCCCCCCTATTTCCGGTACCCGTGCGGTTTAGGCTCAGCCTGCAGCTCTGAGCACCCTGCCGGGGCCCGGGCCTAACCGTCCAGGACTCGCACGGCCGCTGCAGCCGCCGGGGATCCGGTTACCTGCGACAGCCGCCCCGCCCTGCCCCGCCCCGCGGGAAGCGCTGTCTTTCGCGCTGGAGTTCCGAACTCCTGGGCGGCGACGAAAGTCCTCAGTTATTTCCAGAGCAAATTGGTTTAGGAAAATCGCGGCTCTCCTCCCGTGCCCTACCCTGCACAGCTCTCAGAGGGCCGCCGGGTCCCTTGGCGGCCCACACCCCCGAGCTCGGCGGAAACCCCAACCCCCCTCTGTAGCGACTGCCTCCGGGCACGAACCACTCACCGCTATAAATAATCTCTGGCCTGCGGCCACCCCGCGGGGTCTCGCCAGCCAGTGGCCCGGAGCCTGGAAATATTTATTCCGAGAGGCTCCGGAGCGCAGGACGTGGGGAGGATGGGCGGGGGAGAGGGGCGGGTAGGCTCCAGTTTAGAGTCCCGCGGTACGGGATACCTAGTCCCTCCCGCAAGTCTTAACAAAAAACGGCCTCCCGCGGGGTGCCCCTGGGCCTCCTGCCTCCTTGTATTATTTATTATTCTCTTAGGCCCTACTTCCCAGTTCTAGTGCACGGTATGAAAAATAAAACCTATGTGTGTGTTTGTGTGCGGAGGAGGTGGGGGCGCGGCGCAGCGCACCGGTGCCCGGGGTTGGTTCCTCCGCCCCTCCCCCATGGGCCCTCGAGGCTGGGCCTCCTGGGTGTCCAATTTGGAGATGTGTATCCTGAGAGAGCTCCTTTCTGTGGCTCCCGCAGGGTTCCGGTTTCCAGTCGTCGCGGAGGGAGAAGTATGGCAACGTGTTCAAGACGCACTTGCTGGGGCGGCCGCTGATCCGCGTAACCGGCGCAGAAAACGTGCGCAAGATCCTCATGGGAGAACACCACCTCGTGAGCACCGAGTGGCCGCGCAGCACACGCATGCTGCTGGGCCCGAACACGGTGGCCAACTCCATAGGAGACATCCACCGCAACAAGCGCAAGGTAAGATCTGGGCCACGAGCACTGTAACTGTGCTTTGACCCTCTTCTTCCGTGCACCTCCCTTGGGGTAAGGAGTTCGCTGAGCCCTGGAGACATCCCCAACGGAATCTGTCATCTCCATTTGCACACATGCTAGAGGATCTCGTAGTTCGACTAGACGGCAGCGATCCCGGATCCAGAGCCTGCACAGGCCTCCTTCCAGTCTGCCCTTTTGTTGACCCACTGTGCTTAATGCGCTACTAGGCCGAACGTGGGGCTGTTTTGGGGGAGTGATGGTTTGGACAGAGCTTGAATGTGCGGGAACTGGGGTGTCCAACGTTTGTCCCTGCAGTGCTTCACAAAACTGGAAAAGAAAGGGCGGACGGTGGTTGGCGCCCCCCTTTTCTCCACGTTTCCCCCAGGAATTCCTATGACTGGGGACGGACAACTCTAAAATCAAATCTAGCATTTCTGCCACAGGCTGCTTAAGGTCGACGTGGGCAGGCGCAGGGGTCCGGGGGGCACCCCAAGGATAGCGGTTGCGGGGCCTTGCCTGGGAGGGGTGCCGTGAAATTCAGGCCACTGCAGACATTCGTCTGTATGATGGGGGGACGGCCAGGGGTGGGAGAGCAGCCAAGGCGCGGCTGGCGATCAAAGTACACCTACCTCTTCCCATAAAGAGGAAGAAAAAGTGGGTGTTTATCCTGTGGATTTCCCGAGCGCCTGGAAGAGGCACGGAGGAGGTGAGCCAGAGCGCACGCAGCGAGCCTCCCCGCCCCCCTCCCAGGGCTGAGCTGCCGCCGGCGCGGCCTGCAGCGCGGGCGGCACGTGCTGTTTGAACTGCAGTAACCCGAAAGCTGAGCCGCCGGCGGGCGGGGCGCCGGCCTGCGGGTTTAAAGCGGCCGGAGCCGGGTCTGCGCGACCTCCCCACCCTCCATTTTTCCGCTGGGTCAGAGGACTCGCCCAGGTTTGAAACCTGCAGGAAAAAGAGAGACCGCCTGTGATCGCCAAAAGTGGCAGAGTACGGGAGAGGGGAGGGGCAACTCTGGGCAACCCCTGTGTGAGGTGGTCTTGGTGAATTTAGCGATTCATCTTACAGTATTTTTATGTCTTCTGAACTGCCTGCGACGAGTAGTTCCCCGCAGCAGACAAAAGGAGGAAAAATCAAATGGAGGAGATTGAATTTACCCTCCCTCCCTCACCCCACCCCCGCCCAATAAAACACGTATTTTGGGAACTGGAAAGGGACTTCTAAAATGGTCTCCGCATCTGTCTCACTAGAGCAGGAAGCAGCTAACACAGCCGGCCAGGGGCAGAGCAGGGGCTTCTAGGGAGTGGCTGTGGGCTGTAGGCTCAGGAATGGGGGCTTTTCAAAAATGTAAAACACTCCTTTCTTGCTTAGTCTTTGTGACCCCACCAAAAACCCATTCCAAAGTGAAGAGACAGCCTGAGACTCAGAAGTCCAGGTCCAAAGGATATGGCTTCTTCCTCATTTTACCTTTATACAGGCTTTGACAAGAAAGCAATTACCATCCGCTCCTCACAGAAGGGGACACTGAAAGCTTAGAGAGTTTGAGAGACAAAGAAAGGGCAGATCAGGGCGTGCAGCACAGGCATCCATAAAGAAAAGTTGTTTCTGGGCCACCAAGCAGAGCCCTACTCACCTGCCCACCCTGGGCTGCCAGCACCTGGGGGTGGGGGCAGGGAAGAAGGCTGGGTCTGGACCAGAGTGAGAGACCCTGGGGGTGCAGAGGGCTGTGGGGCAGGGCTGTGGTTCCACCTACCCTCTGCCCTAACTAGGCCTTGGGCCTCCAGGTGGGGAGGGGCCTGCCTGGAAAGCCCCAAGGTTTTGGCCTGTGTTGTCCATTGGGAGAGAGAAGGAGACAGCAGGCCCAGAGGAACAGAGGAATGCACAGAGAAGGAGGGAGAGAGAGGGAATGGGCTGGGGCCAGGGTGAGGACCATGGGTAAGGTATCGAGGTATCGATGGTCTCCTTTGGGAGACCTCTAGCTCCTTGGGGGTGGGGAGCAGCCAGAAAGCAGCTCATCCTTTCTGGATAGAGGCCTGGGAACCTGATGCAGAGGCCCTCTCTGTATGTATTAACTGTGTGTCTCCTTTGTTGCATGTATATGGGTCTTGTGGTAAATCGGTGGACAAAGGGGTCCTTGCCTGCTTAATGTCCCTAATTGATGTTCCTTAAACTTGGGTTTATCTTAATTAAATAGACCTTGAGTTAGGTATAAACGTAGAAGCAGGAAACTTGGTCCTTGCCTTAAAAAGTGGAGTCTAGCTGAAGGGATGATAAGAGAATATTTAGGTGCACATTCTGGTCCTGAAGAGAATGGCCAGTCTGCTGGACCCAGTGCCCAGTGGACTCGGTGTGGCCAGGGTGGAGGCTGCTGTGTGCCACTCACACCATCCTACCCAGCCAGCACTGCAGTCAGGGACCTGGAGAACAGGCTCCTGGGCCAGGCCTCGGCCTGGTTAGGATGTTCTCTCAGGAAGTGGGGCCCAGGTGTGCTGGGCCTGGCTGGCAGGCAACTGGAAGCGTCACTGTTTCCACTGGGTCTGGAGGGCCACCCTTTCTCTGGGAGGTCTGACCAGATGTGCTGGGAAGGGCTCCCCACAGCCATCGCTACACTCCAGGTGTTTGCCCTCACTGCCCTGGTGGTCTAGGGCCAAGATGAGTGGGGTTGCCAGAGAAAATCCAAAAAGCCTTGCCCAATCTAACAGAATACTCTCTGGAGGCCAGGCTTGTATCCCTATAGCCACCAACTCAGAATCTGTCCCTCCTCCTTTGATACCCCTTACCCACAGGCCCTGGGTGTTTGATCTGTTGTGGTGGGGCAGTGGGGTGGGATGGGGCATGACTTCATCTCTCTTTGTATGCAGAGAGGCCAGGGTACTCCCCTAGAGGGTGGATTGACTCATAGGGAAGATGGGGGCAATGGTTGTCAGGGACATGGAGAAGGAGTTGGGGTAGTTCTAAAAGCTTCCAGTGCCTAGTCCCACACACCAGTATCAGACATATCCTCTTATCCTTTGGAGACAGGTCTGGGCTTCTTTGCACCAAAGGGCCAGAAGATTCAGGGTGCTTTAGCAGAGCCTTCCAAGAACTTGGAGAACATCTCAAGGGATGCACTTAGCCTTAGAGCCCTGGACTGAGGCAACCCCAGGCAGGGCCTTCTTGCCCTTTCACCCCTGACCCCTGGCTACAGGGACTCTGTGTCCAAGGCTGAGGTGGGGAAACAGCTCCCCAGGCTTTGGAGGTAGCAATTAAGGCTGCCTACCTGCCCACCCACTGCCCCTCATTGCCCTGGCCTTTGGGTCCCTTCCTGGATAGGGACTCAGGATCACTGCACTTCTCTCAGAAGTGCTATGCATCCTGGGGCTTATGTCAGATGGAGAGTCCAGGAGGTGCCTCAGAAGGCTGGCAGAGCCCATGGTTGCAGGGAGCTTGGGGGAGGCAATCCTACGTAGCCTTTGGACCAGTGCATGCCCTCTGGCTGCAAAGTGTGCCCAGGCTTAGCTCAGAGCAGAAATTCCCACCAGCATTAGATAGGAAGGTGGGTGTCTCAGCCAGGCAGCCCTGCTACTGGAAGCTCTGCGCCAGCCCCCTGTCATAGGCATAGAGCCTTTGTTCTGCCAGCCAAAGAAGTCCTTCACCAAAAGTTACTGTAGCATCAGCTGGTGAATGCATGGGCCTCTGAGGGGGCTGGTGGCAGGAGCGGATGCCTGTGAAGGTCAGCGGGGGAGGGAGCCCACGGCCAGCGGCCAGGCGCCTGAGAGTGGGCACCTCCCTCCACATACCCTGTGCCCCACAGCAGGGTGGGTGGGCTGGTTGGGCCTAGGGCACCTCCTCCCTTTGCCCTCCTTTCTTTCCTCCTCCCAGGGTGGGGTGGGGTCCAAGACTGTGATGCTGATGTGTTGGCTCACTCTCCCAGCCTTGGGAGACAGTTCTCGCCTTGGTAGGGAGTGGGGAGGCTTGCTCTGGCCCTGAGCCCCCAATGCCAGCCATTGTATCCACTCCACGTTCACCAGGCTGAAGGGCAGGGGTTAGGGGGTGTGCCTCCAGGGGCTGAGAAATGCTGAGAGCAATCCAGAGTAGCCAGAAGAGATGGCCTTCCCCTTAGAATAAACTTGGGCCATAGTGGAGGGAACCCTTCAGGGCTCTGAGATAAATTCAGAGCCCCCCACCCTGGACTGGTAGAAAGCAGCTTGGTGGGGTTTGGAGTGGTGGGAGGCAGGGAGTTCAGGGACCCTGGTAGGTGTGGCTAGTCATGCTTTGGACTGTAACCATGGGAATGCCCTTCCACTTTGGGCCTCTGCTGTTGGGGGGTTTAGCTATGGCTGGAGGAGAGATGAGTGTCTGGGCAAACCTTTTCAGATTCTGAGACTCAAAGGTATCTACCAATTACTGCCCTCCCATTCCCCACCAGCTTTTGTTGTATGTGGAAGTTAGGGGAGAGCACTGGAGTCAAATGGGGGACAGATACTCTGTTCCCACAGATGCTGGGAACCCAGAGAGGACATTCACCATCTGGGTGGGTGTGGGGCGGCCTCTCCCAGTGAGAGGGGCCAAATGGGCACTGGCTCAGGAGGCAGCCAGGGTGAAGTTGAGGCCCAGTGGAAATGCCAGGCAGTGGGAAGATGACGTCCTCTCTTGTCCTCCCCCTTACTTGAGTATAAAACACACACCTTGGCGTCACCCCTGTGCTGTGCGGGCGGCTGCCTGCCCTCTGTTATTCTTTCCACTCCAAAGGCCTCAGCTTTGGTCGCTTGGCGGGGTGGCCTGCCCGGGCCCCCACCCTCCTGGGCGGTCACTTCCATTCCTCCCAGTCTGAGTCACTGGCCCAAAGAGTGGGTTCCTGCTCACTCCTGAGGCTCTTCCCAAGCCCCCGAGGCTGCCTGTCCATCTGTCCTTCCATCCACAGCCACCAGCTGAGAAGGGGGAGGTTATCCGGCTGAGCCGGTCTGCATGCAGGACCATGAGGGTCCAGTGCATGACTCTACTCCCAGGTGCACCAGGTGAGAGGTAGGAGAGGGGAGAGAGGCCTAGAGGAGGAGGGAGAAGCACTTGTAGAAACAATTACGGGGAATTTGAGCCTTGACAAGCCCCTTGGAGTGGCCCCCCCAGACCCTCCCACTCCAGCTCTCACTGTGGGAAGGAAACCAGGGACCTGGGCTGAGCTCACTGCATCACTGGGGAAAACGATGTAGGTGGGAAGGCTTCTAAACACATCTTTCAAGGTGGGGACCCCACTCTGCCTTGCTTCTGTGTCTGGGTGTACCCTGGGTCTCCTGTGACTCCTGCCCTCACTCTGGGCACCAACACTGGTGTGAAGTCCATACCTGCTGCTGCCTCGGCAGGACTTTGCCTGGGCTGGAGATGGTTTCTGATGACCTTTGTCCAACATTCTTGGCTCACTTTTGGGAATTCTAGGGTAGCCCCAGAGGGAAACAAAGCAGGCCTGGGTCCTGTTACAACTGTGATCAGGGCAGTCGGCTCTGGGGGCTAGGAGCCCTTCCCCTCTGCACACAGAGCCGCTCTGCTGGGCACCTGCCCATGTGCCTGAGTCCTGACCCCACCCGCTCCATGTGGCCCAGGCCTCCCCTGCCCTGGCCAGCACCTCCACCTCCTTCTGGCCTTTGTGGTGGGCGGTGGTTTCTGGGCTGCCCCGGCTGTGGGAAGTGCCCACATTGTTAATCCTGGGCATGGACCCAGGGATTAGGCTCTGGAGTTCTCCCAGTGCCTAGGAGGCCCCAGTTCCTATGGAACAGCTGGGCTGAAAGCATGGGCATGGACCAGGTGCCCGCTGAGCTAAGCCCCGAGGGCCCAGAGGGCCTGCAGTCTGCTTTGCATGGCTGCTTATTTGGGTAATTTCTGTACCTCAGTGGGACTCTGAGGAGAATCATGGGATAGTCAGGGACCCCAGAACATCCAGTCAGACCCCTCAGGAAAGAAGTAGGCAAACTGATCCCCAGAGGGGGCAGTGACCTGCCGGCTGCCCCTGGCAAGTCCGGAAAAGAATGCTGCGCCTGGGTGTATTGTTTCTCCAAAAGGCACAGCCCAGGGCCAGGAGGCACAGGGTGGCTTGGGCTTCCTGAGATTATCCCAGCTCTTGGCCTTGCTCAGGACCCCTTTCTGTCTAGAGGTGAGGTGGATGTGGATCCCTGCCCTTGGAGTCCCCCTGCTCAGTCCCAGGTTCCCCGACATCCTGCCTGCCCTCCTAGGACCCCAAGGCTTGAGAAGGAGCGATTCGGCTGGCCATCACTAGGGGGCGCAGGGAATGTAACCTTTGGGGCAGGGCAGGACCCGCCTTGCCAGGGCTTGTCTGAGGGTCCCCTCTGGCCATCCCTCAGGATGTAGTGAGGGCCCTAAGAGGTCCCACTCTGGTAACCCAGGGATGGTCTATCCTGGGCTACTGTATCCAGTGTGGGTTGTGTGAGGGGAGGGGAGGGGCTGGCAGGCACTTAGCAGGTGACTTGTGCAATATGATTCTGGGCTTCTTTCCAGGATAACATCTACTTAGGGACTCATACATATTGGCATTTGTAAGCTCTGTACATTGAAAGGAAACACAGGTTCAACCTCACCATTTTTGCAGATGAGGAAACTGAGGCGGAGGGGTCCGGTGAGTGGCCGTGGTGGCACAGTAAGTTGGTAGATGATCCTAAGTTAAAAGTTAGGTCTCCGGGTACCCAGCCTGCCCTTCCCACCACCCTACTGCATCTTAGAGCCAAGCTGGTGAGGCTGGCAGGTACTGGTCAGCCCTATTTCCCCCTCCATATGCCCACTTTTGGGTCCAGGTCTCCTGTGTTCTGGGGGCCCTGGCCAGTCCCTGCCCCTCTGCCCTTCATGACAGTGTCCTTTATTCTGCTCTGTGGCCTCCCTGTGCCTGCCTGCCTCCATGTCCAGCCCTTCCACTGAGCCTGGTAGCCACAAAGTTATCTTTCTGCCTCCCTGATGAACCTGCTTGGCCCCCATGCACCCCTTTCTTCTCATCCCATGAGCCCTTTACTGTTTGGTAAGGGCCTTACTGGGCTCTGGGGCTAGGACTAATACTCTTTGACTAAGAGCTGATCCTGGAATCCGAAGGACACCACGGTGAGGGCTGAGGCAGAGAGTGCTGTCTTCATCCACGACCCTCTGAAGGAAGGTGGCAGCTGAAGTTCCCCTAGAAATTCCTGGGACCCCTAACCAAGCAAGGTATGAGTGACCTGCCCAGGCTTCGGCTGCCCTTGGCCACCTCCCATTATCCTCCCACCCTTCAGCTGTCCCTTAGTAGCAGAAGCAGCTCCAAACAGTGCTGGCTTCTCTGCCCCTCACTGGCCTCCTTCCCTCCCTCCCTCTGCCCACCGGGAATTTCGGAATGAAAGTGCTATTGTGAATGCCTGGCTGGGCCACTGAAGGGCCAGCACTGTTATTTCTGCAAACCAGCCCTCCCATTAGCCATGCAGGGCTGAGGCCAGGAAAATGTTACCTTTTCCTCCATGAGCTGACTGCAGGGGAAATTCTCACATTTACAGTTTGTGTGGTGGTTGTGTTTGGGGGGCAGGAGGGGAGGCTGGGCACGTGTGTGTGGTTTGTGTGGGGCAGGGTGCGGGGTGTGTTGGGGGAGGCGAGAGGAATATTTTTATCCTTCCTTTGCTCTACCTGTTCTCTGCCTTCCCTGACTGACTTTTCCCTGGTGCCGGTGGGGGCACCCCCTCGTGCCCTAGACTCTGGAGGAGACGGTCACTGGCTGTGATGAGACCCACAAGCCACCGTCGATAAATGAGCAACATCCTGCCATCTGCTACACACCATGAAACTCCCGTACACAGCATGGAAACTCTGTGCAGGGCTGTCTTGGGAGCAGGAGGCAGTTGTTGAGGAATCAGAAGGACAGAAAGCGGGGGAGGTGGAAGCAGGGACTCACTGGTTACTTAAAATGGACCAGAAAGATACAAGGAATAGAAGGGCTTCTTTTAAGCCCTTTGTGATTTTGGTTTTATGATTTTTGGGGGTGGAAAGCCTTGCCCTAAATCCCCTGCCTCCAGACCTGGGCACGCTGAAGACATTTTGATGGCACAGCTGTGAACAAATTCCTTAGCATCTCTACCTGGTAGGTGTTCCCCAGGGAGTGAGAGCAATTTGGGGTCTCCAGAAGTCCTGTGTGCAGTCTAGCCGCAGACTCTTGTTCTCCCATCAGTGGGGAAGAAGAGCTCCCTACTGACTTCCACCTCTTCCTTGTCCATTCCATTCACCTTTGTTCCACTTGTCCAGGGCACTTCTGCCCTGTGGCCTGGATGTTCGGGAATGGGTCCTGCAGTGGAGGGCTGGCTTCCCCTCCAGCCCAACCCAGCCCCCCAGAGTATAGGCCCCACTGCTGGTATGACCACACTGCCCACAGACCAGTTGGCAGGTAGACTGCCCAGTCACCAGGGCTTTGTCATTGTTATAAGTACAAGTACTTATAAACTCTGTCTTCATCCCGTCCCTTTCCTGCCTCCCCACTAAGACACAGACAGTAGGAGGGGGTTCAGACTAGGGGAGTCAGCAAGGGGCTGTGTCTGGATATGGAAAGGGGGAGCTCAGTTGGGGGTGAGGACCTGGAGTCTTCCCTGTCCACAGTCATGGGATCCACTGTTCAGCCAGGCCATGTGGGTGCCATGTGGGCAGGCTTGAGCCCATGTGACCAGCTCACCCGTCTGCCTTCTAGGTCTTCTCCAAGATCTTTAGCCACGAGGCCCTGGAGAGCTACCTGCCCAAGATTCAGCTGGTGATCCAGGACACACTGCGTGCCTGGAGCAGCTACCCCGAGGCCATCAACGTGTACCAGGAGGCACAGAAGCTCACCTTCCGCATGGCCATCCGTGTGCTGCTGGGCTTCAGCATCCCTGAAGAGGACCTCGGGCACCTCTTCGAGGTCTACCAGCAGTTTGTGGAGAATGTCTTCTCCCTGCCTGTCGACCTGCCCTTTAGTGGCTACCGGCGGGTGAGTGCCCAGGGCCTGGGAGGAGAGGAGGTGGGCATCCGTGAGCCCATCCTGTGGGAGGAGGCAGCTGACCTCTAAGAGGATCACTGGCTGCACAGACAGAGGGGAGGTGATAGTGGGAGGGTGGGAGAGCCTTCTTCCAGTGGTCTCTGCAACTCACTTGGGAAGTTCTCAGGAGAGGCCCTCAGTGACCCTGCCCTTCCCCTTGGGTGACCAGGCGGCCCCTTCTCCCCTCAGGGCATTCAGGCACGGCAAATCCTCCAGAAGGGCCTGGAAAAGGCGATCCGGGAGAAGCTGCAGTGCACCCAGGGCAAAGACTACTCGGACGCCCTGGACATCCTCATTGAGAGCAGCAAAGAGCACGGGAAGGAGATGACCATGCAGGAGCTGAAGGTGGGCTGGCCTCCCCAGTGGGCAGCTCAGCGCCCAGCACTCCAGTTCTGCATGCTCTGGTCCCCTTCCGCAGGGGCTTTCCAGGGTGGCTGTCACTGCCTGGGGCTGGGTGCTAAACTAGAAAAATGTCCATGTCCCTGCCTGCCCAGTGTGCAAGACCTGGTGGGAAGGACAGGTAGCCCCGTGATGGTGGGCCTGCCCCTCAGCTTGCTGTGCACCCAGTGCTGGTGTGGAGCAGGTCCCCACAGCAGTTGAGCCCCGCACTTTCCATCCCACTTACAGTCCCATCTACAGTCTTGGAAGAGATGCTGAAAACTGGCCCTTAGAAACCTCTGACCGAGCTCAGTGTCAGTGGCTATGTCGACCCCCTGACCTCCCTGCAGTATTCACTATTCCAGTGCATTTCATGGTCCCAGTAGCCCAGGAAGGTCACCACAGGCCCAGATGGGGAAGCCACTTGCTTGAAGGCAGCCTTAGCCCCTGGGGAAGGATGGGGAGATTCAGACCTCTCTCAAGCCTCCTTCCAGCCCGCCAGCCTTTTAGTGTTGGGGGCACTTGACACTCGCCCAGTCTACCTGGCACTGGCCACACCCCATTGGGCTGCTGACACCAGGACTGTATTCCTCCTGAGGAGGGATTCATTCCCTCTTCCTCGTCTAGACCCTGCCGCCTACACGTCTGCCGGGCGCCCCCGGAGGCTTCCCACTGACTTCTCCAGTCTCTGCTTCCCCCACAGTCTAGCGCCAGCTTTTTCCCTGGCCAGTCAGGAAGGAGCCCAAGTGACTTTCCCATTGCACAGGCATTTTTGCAACTTGTAGGTGGTACCATGGCAAGTAAGGGACCCAGGTTCCTTCACTCCCCACTCTGGGCCCAGCATCCACATTTGTAAAATTCAGGGCTTGGAACGAGATGATCTGCTGGGACCTTTCCATGGCGCGCCTATGGCCCTGTGTCTTGCCAGAGAACACTGGTGGGGTCTTTAAATCTTCAGGGGCCACCCCCCTTCACCCTTCTCACTGCAGTCCCATCTCTTAGGTATGACCACAACTTCCTCCCCAACCCTCTCAACTCTCCTGCCCACCTACCAGATGTCCTGAGATGGAGGAAAGAGTAGGAGGCCCAGGTTTAGACCCCACACTCCCCCAACTCGTACAGTGCCTGCCTTCCAGGGACTTCTGGGCTCGTGCCTCTGTCCTGGGTCACAGCAGTTGTATCTCTGGGCCAGCCAGGGGAAAGGCCCTGGGACCCATGTCCTTCGTGGCTCCAGTGTCCCAGCAATGTGAGGCTCAGAGGACGTGGGCAGGGCCCCTCTAAATGACCCAAGACACTGGCAGAGCATGGCTGCTCCTGCCAGGGCTGTACCTGCCCGGCTGAACCTAGATTGCAGCAGTGCCTGTCCTCTGTGTTGTGCAGGACGGGACCCTAGAGCTGATCTTCGCAGCCTACGCCACCACGGCCAGTGCCAGCACCTCGCTCATCATGCAGCTGCTGAAGCACCCCGCCGTGCTGGAGAAGCTGCGGGAGGAGCTGCGGGCCCAGGGCATCCTGCACAGTGGTGGCTGCCCCTGCGAGGGCACCCTGCGCCTCGACACGCTCAGTGGGCTGCACTACCTGGACTGTGTCATCAAGGAGGTCATGCGCCTTTTCACACCCATTTCTGGTGGCTACCGCACAGTGCTGCAGACCTTTGAGCTCGATGTAAGGTTGGGCCCATAGGGCTGGGGCTCCAGGGACCAGTGGACCATTGCCATGGGGACAGGGAGGCTGGCTGATGGGAGTGACCAGCCTCCCTGTCAGGGTACCTCAGTCTGATGGGAGAGACCCCGCCCCAAATGCTGGGCGGGTCAGATGAAGCCAACCTGTGTGTTACAGATGTAGATATCTGTAAATGAAAGAGTGGACTGACATGCCCAGGGGGAAGGCTGGGAGGACCAGTGGGGCGTCCCTAGGAACATCTGCAGGGGCAGCTGGCAGGCAGTCCTGGGCCCTCTCAGATGTCTTCTGGCTCTCACCACACCCTATCCTACCCATCTTGCCTCCAGGGTTTTCAGATCCCCAAAGGCTGGAGTGTCATGTACAGCATCCGGGACACCCACGACACGGCGCCTGTGTTCAAAGATGTAAATGTATTTGACCCTGACCGCTTCAGTCAGGCTCGGAGTGAAGACAAGGACGGCCGCTTCCATTACCTCCCATTTGGCGGCGGTGTCCGGACCTGCCTGGGCAAGCACCTGGCCAAGCTGTTCCTGAAGGTGCTGGCGGTGGAGCTGGCCAGCACAAGCCGCTTTGAGCTGGCCACCCGGACCTTCCCTCGCATCACCCTGGTCCCTGTCCTACACCCCGTGGACGGCCTCAGCGTCAAGTTTTTTGGCCTGGACTCCAACCAGAACAAGATTCTGCCAGAGACGGAGGCCATGCTGAGCGCCACAGTCTAACCATGTCAAGCCCACACCCCCAGCCTCAGCCCAGCCAGGCCCTGGCTGTGGTGGGTGATGGAAGGGTAGAAACCTGTGTGTGCTGGAACCCAGGGAAGGGGGAGCAGCCCCCATACCTTGCCCTCCCCCCTTCCCCTCCCTGGCAAACCCTACCCAAAGCCCAGAGGGCCCCATCCTTCCAAGGAACAGGGGCCCTTCTGGCTCCTGCTTCTTTCCAGTCTCCCCAGCTCCCACAGGCTTAGCCCCTGGGAAAGGGCAGGGCCAGGGGCCCCGCGCTCCCACCACAGGGTTAAACGTCAGCTGGCTTGTGCTCAGCACTGGCTTAGGATCTTCTGACCCTGTCCGTCCCCTCCCTGTTCTTCTGGGCCTTCTTACTTAAAGATCAGGTGGTTGACATGGGGAAAGGAGCACAGAGATGCCCCCTTTGGCACTCTCTCAGTGCTCCCTCCCCTCCTGTCTTGGCTCAGACTGGCCAGTGTCCCTCCTGGTGTGGCCACTGAGGAACAGCATCCTGGGTAACAGAACATAGTCACCCCTGGCAGGGCAGGGGCTGCAGCCAGCCTGAAGGGACCCCACCCCTTTGCCAGTTTGGACATTTAAAATTACCTGTTGCTGCTACTTTTTCTCTTCTGACCTTGGGGCAAAGGAACCCCAGGCTCTGTCCTCCCAGCATCGCCCCTGGTGGCCCTGGGCACAAGCACTGACATCCCCACCTGCCCACCAGGCAGCCTTGAGCCCACCCTGTTCCCCACCACACACACATCCCCAAGGCCCTTGACTCATGGGCTGCCCCCTGCACACCCTGTCCCCCATATTTATTCACTGATATAACTGAATCTTGGCTAAACGGGGGGGGGGGTTTGAACAAGCATCTCTCTGTTCCCTAGCCCCTGCCTGGGACAGGACTTCTGAGAGTGATGCAGTCCCCAGCCTAGGACTGAGCAGCTTCCCCAGGCTCCAGACCTTTTGTGGTTCAAACTCAGAGCCTCCCTCCTAGGGCGAAATCCAGCACCTCTGCCTTTATACCCTGGTGGAGATGGGGAAATGGCCCACTGCCTGCCTCCCTGCTCTGTCAGAAACCCTGATCACATGGGAATCTGGAGGCTGCCGCGATCTGCTTGGTCCCTGGTCTCCCCTGTGCCCCCTACTCCGGCTAGTGAGTATGGGGAAGGATACGGGTTCTTTCTTCTGATGGGGAGTGAGGGTCTCCGTCATCCCTCCCTTGACCCTCATCTTTTGTTCTTTGCCTTTGGAAAGGTGTCTTTGAAGTCCCTTCCCACCTGTATGCCACTGTCTACTTAGCCCAGCTCAGGGGGGTGGGGACGAGATGGTGGGCACCCCCTCGTGCCCTAGACTCTGGAGGAGACGGTCACTGGCTGTGATGAGACCCACAAGCCACCGTCGATAAATGAGCAACATCCTGCCATCTGCTACACACCATGAAACTCCCGTACACAGCATGGAAACTCTGTGCAGGGCTGTCTTGGGAGCAGGAGGCAGTTGTTGAGGAATCAGAAGGACAGAAAGCGGGGGAGGTGGAAGCAGGGACTCACTGGTTACTTAAAATGGACCAGAAAGATACAAGGAATAGAAGGGCTTCTTTTAAGCCCTTTGTGATTTTGGTTTTATGATTTTTGGGGGTGGAAAGCCTTGCCCTAAATCCCCTGCCTCCAGACCTGGGCACGCTGAAGACATTTTGATGGCACAGCTGTGAACAAATTCCTTAGCATCTCTACCTGGTAGGTGTTCCCCAGGGAGTGAGAGCAATTTGGGGTCTCCAGAAGTCCTGTGTGCAGTCTAGCCGCAGACTCTTGTTCTCCCATCAGTGGGGAAGAAGAGCTCCCTACTGACTTCCACCTCTTCCTTGTCCATTCCATTCACCTTTGTTCCACTTGTCCAGGGCACTTCTGCCCTGTGGCCTGGATGTTCGGGAATGGGTCCTGCAGTGGAGGGCTGGCTTCCCCTCCAGCCCAACCCAGCCCCCCAGAGTATAGGCCCCACTGCTGGTATGACCACACTGCCCACAGACCAGTTGGCAGGTAGACTGCCCAGTCACCAGGGCTTTGTCATTGTTATAAGTACAAGTACTTATAAACTCTGTCTTCATCCCGTCCCTTTCCTGCCTCCCCACTAAGACACAGACAGTAGGAGGGGGTTCAGACTAGGGGAGTCAGCAAGGGGCTGTGTCTGGATATGGAAAGGGGGAGCTCAGTTGGGGGTGAGGACCTGGAGTCTTCCCTGTCCACAGTCATGGGATCCACTGTTCAGCCAGGCCATGTGGGTGCCATGTGGGCAGGCTTGAGCCCATGTGACCAGCTCACCCGTCTGCCTTCTAGGTCTTCTCCAAGATCTTTAGCCACGAGGCCCTGGAGAGCTACCTGCCCAAGATTCAGCTGGTGATCCAGGACACACTGCGTGCCTGGAGCAGCTACCCCGAGGCCATCAACGTGTACCAGGAGGCACAGAAGCTCACCTTCCGCATGGCCATCCGTGTGCTGCTGGGCTTCAGCATCCCTGAAGAGGACCTCGGGCACCTCTTCGAGGTCTACCAGCAGTTTGTGGAGAATGTCTTCTCCCTGCCTGTCGACCTGCCCTTTAGTGGCTACCGGCGGGTGAGTGCCCAGGGCCTGGGAGGAGAGGAGGTGGGCATCCGTGAGCCCATCCTGTGGGAGGAGGCAGCTGACCTCTAAGAGGATCACTGGCTGCACAGACAGAGGGGAGGTGATAGTGGGAGGGTGGGAGAGCCTTCTTCCAGTGGTCTCTGCAACTCACTTGGGAAGTTCTCAGGAGAGGCCCTCAGTGACCCTGCCCTTCCCCTTGGGTGACCAGGCGGCCCCTTCTCCCCTCAGGGCATTCAGGCACGGCAAATCCTCCAGAAGGGCCTGGAAAAGGCGATCCGGGAGAAGCTGCAGTGCACCCAGGGCAAAGACTACTCGGACGCCCTGGACATCCTCATTGAGAGCAGCAAAGAGCACGGGAAGGAGATGACCATGCAGGAGCTGAAGGTGGGCTGGCCTCCCCAGTGGGCAGCTCAGCGCCCAGCACTCCAGTTCTGCATGCTCTGGTCCCCTTCCGCAGGGGCTTTCCAGGGTGGCTGTCACTGCCTGGGGCTGGGTGCTAAACTAGAAAAATGTCCATGTCCCTGCCTGCCCAGTGTGCAAGACCTGGTGGGAAGGACAGGTAGCCCCGTGATGGTGGGCCTGCCCCTCAGCTTGCTGTGCACCCAGTGCTGGTGTGGAGCAGGTCCCCACAGCAGTTGAGCCCCGCACTTTCCATCCCACTTACAGTCCCATCTACAGTCTTGGAAGAGATGCTGAAAACTGGCCCTTAGAAACCTCTGACCGAGCTCAGTGTCAGTGGCTATGTCGACCCCCTGACCTCCCTGCAGTATTCACTATTCCAGTGCATTTCATGGTCCCAGTAGCCCAGGAAGGTCACCACAGGCCCAGATGGGGAAGCCACTTGCTTGAAGGCAGCCTTAGCCCCTGGGGAAGGATGGGGAGATTCAGACCTCTCTCAAGCCTCCTTCCAGCCCGCCAGCCTTTTAGTGTTGGGGGCACTTGACACTCGCCCAGTCTACCTGGCACTGGCCACACCCCATTGGGCTGCTGACACCAGGACTGTATTCCTCCTGAGGAGGGATTCATTCCCTCTTCCTCGTCTAGACCCTGCCGCCTACACGTCTGCCGGGCGCCCCCGGAGGCTTCCCACTGACTTCTCCAGTCTCTGCTTCCCCCACAGTCTAGCGCCAGCTTTTTCCCTGGCCAGTCAGGAAGGAGCCCAAGTGACTTTCCCATTGCACAGGCATTTTTGCAACTTGTAGGTGGTACCATGGCAAGTAAGGGACCCAGGTTCCTTCACTCCCCACTCTGGGCCCAGCATCCACATTTGTAAAATTCAGGGCTTGGAACGAGATGATCTGCTGGGACCTTTCCATGGCGCGCCTATGGCCCTGTGTCTTGCCAGAGAACACTGGTGGGGTCTTTAAATCTTCAGGGGCCACCCCCCTTCACCCTTCTCACTGCAGTCCCATCTCTTAGGTATGACCACAACTTCCTCCCCAACCCTCTCAACTCTCCTGCCCACCTACCAGATGTCCTGAGATGGAGGAAAGAGTAGGAGGCCCAGGTTTAGACCCCACACTCCCCCAACTCGTACAGTGCCTGCCTTCCAGGGACTTCTGGGCTCGTGCCTCTGTCCTGGGTCACAGCAGTTGTATCTCTGGGCCAGCCAGGGGAAAGGCCCTGGGACCCATGTCCTTCGTGGCTCCAGTGTCCCAGCAATGTGAGGCTCAGAGGACGTGGGCAGGGCCCCTCTAAATGACCCAAGACACTGGCAGAGCATGGCTGCTCCTGCCAGGGCTGTACCTGCCCGGCTGAACCTAGATTGCAGCAGTGCCTGTCCTCTGTGTTGTGCAGGACGGGACCCTAGAGCTGATCTTCGCAGCCTACGCCACCACGGCCAGTGCCAGCACCTCGCTCATCATGCAGCTGCTGAAGCACCCCGCCGTGCTGGAGAAGCTGCGGGAGGAGCTGCGGGCCCAGGGCATCCTGCACAGTGGTGGCTGCCCCTGCGAGGGCACCCTGCGCCTCGACACGCTCAGTGGGCTGCACTACCTGGACTGTGTCATCAAGGAGGTCATGCGCCTTTTCACACCCATTTCTGGTGGCTACCGCACAGTGCTGCAGACCTTTGAGCTCGATGTAAGGTTGGGCCCATAGGGCTGGGGCTCCAGGGACCAGTGGACCATTGCCATGGGGACAGGGAGGCTGGCTGATGGGAGTGACCAGCCTCCCTGTCAGGGTACCTCAGTCTGATGGGAGAGACCCCGCCCCAAATGCTGGGCGGGTCAGATGAAGCCAACCTGTGTGTTACAGATGTAGATATCTGTAAATGAAAGAGTGGACTGACATGCCCAGGGGGAAGGCTGGGAGGACCAGTGGGGCGTCCCTAGGAACATCTGCAGGGGCAGCTGGCAGGCAGTCCTGGGCCCTCTCAGATGTCTTCTGGCTCTCACCACACCCTATCCTACCCATCTTGCCTCCAGGGTTTTCAGATCCCCAAAGGCTGGAGTGTCATGTACAGCATCCGGGACACCCACGACACGGCGCCTGTGTTCAAAGATGTAAATGTATTTGACCCTGACCGCTTCAGTCAGGCTCGGAGTGAAGACAAGGACGGCCGCTTCCATTACCTCCCATTTGGCGGCGGTGTCCGGACCTGCCTGGGCAAGCACCTGGCCAAGCTGTTCCTGAAGGTGCTGGCGGTGGAGCTGGCCAGCACAAGCCGCTTTGAGCTGGCCACCCGGACCTTCCCTCGCATCACCCTGGTCCCTGTCCTACACCCCGTGGACGGCCTCAGCGTCAAGTTTTTTGGCCTGGACTCCAACCAGAACAAGATTCTGCCAGAGACGGAGGCCATGCTGAGCGCCACAGTCTAACCATGTCAAGCCCACACCCCCAGCCTCAGCCCAGCCAGGCCCTGGCTGTGGTGGGTGATGGAAGGGTAGAAACCTGTGTGTGCTGGAACCCAGGGAAGGGGGAGCAGCCCCCATACCTTGCCCTCCCCCCTTCCCCTCCCTGGCAAACCCTACCCAAAGCCCAGAGGGCCCCATCCTTCCAAGGAACAGGGGCCCTTCTGGCTCCTGCTTCTTTCCAGTCTCCCCAGCTCCCACAGGCTTAGCCCCTGGGAAAGGGCAGGGCCAGGGGCCCCGCGCTCCCACCACAGGGTTAAACGTCAGCTGGCTTGTGCTCAGCACTGGCTTAGGATCTTCTGACCCTGTCCGTCCCCTCCCTGTTCTTCTGGGCCTTCTTACTTAAAGATCAGGTGGTTGACATGGGGAAAGGAGCACAGAGATGCCCCCTTTGGCACTCTCTCAGTGCTCCCTCCCCTCCTGTCTTGGCTCAGACTGGCCAGTGTCCCTCCTGGTGTGGCCACTGAGGAACAGCATCCTGGGTAACAGAACATAGTCACCCCTGGCAGGGCAGGGGCTGCAGCCAGCCTGAAGGGACCCCACCCCTTTGCCAGTTTGGACATTTAAAATTACCTGTTGCTGCTACTTTTTCTCTTCTGACCTTGGGGCAAAGGAACCCCAGGCTCTGTCCTCCCAGCATCGCCCCTGGTGGCCCTGGGCACAAGCACTGACATCCCCACCTGCCCACCAGGCAGCCTTGAGCCCACCCTGTTCCCCACCACACACACATCCCCAAGGCCCTTGACTCATGGGCTGCCCCCTGCACACCCTGTCCCCCATATTTATTCACTGATATAACTGAATCTTGGCTAAACGGGGGGGGGGTTTGAACAAGCATCTCTCTGTTCCCTAGCCCCTGCCTGGGACAGGACTTCTGAGAGTGATGCAGTCCCCAGCCTAGGACTGAGCAGCTTCCCCAGGCTCCAGACCTTTTGTGGTTCAAACTCAGAGCCTCCCTCCTAGGGCGAAATCCAGCACCTCTGCCTTTATACCCTGGTGGAGATGGGGAAATGGCCCACTGCCTGCCTCCCTGCTCTGTCAGAAACCCTGATCACATGGGAATCTGGAGGCTGCCGCGATCTGCTTGGTCCCTGGTCTCCCCTGTGCCCCCTACTCCGGCTAGTGAGTATGGGGAAGGATACGGGTTCTTTCTTCTGATGGGGAGTGAGGGTCTCCGTCATCCCTCCCTTGACCCTCATCTTTTGTTCTTTGCCTTTGGAAAGGTGTCTTTGAAGTCCCTTCCCACCTGTATGCCACTGTCTACTTAGCCCAGCTCAGGGGGGTGGGGACGAGATGGAAGCAAGGGAGGTGAGTGTAGAAGGCAGCCCTTCCTCTGAGCTGGTTCGGGCCCTCCACGGGGCTGTCAGGGGCAGCTGTGGGGGAGGCTGCAGGGAGAGCTGAGGAGGAGGGTATGTGTGATTGGTCAGAAGTGATTTTGTTGAAAACTGGCCGGTCAGGACGACTGGGGGAAAGAGGAGTAGTTCCTGCCACTGGCATTTTGACTGTTGACGATTTGGGATGCCTCTGGGGACGGCTTGGGGTCTTTGGTGAGTCTCTAAGTGATTGTGACTGTTTTCAGATTTTTCTGTGCTTTCCATGGTTCTCTATTGGCTTTTGATGTTGTAAAAGCAATGAATTCCCTTTACAAGAAAATTTAAAACACACAGAAGTAGGACGCAAGATGTCTATCCCCCTAATTGCCTCTCTGTAGCAGCGACCACTGTGAGGTGCTCAGAGGCTCCTCCTGGGGTGTGCAGCGGGGAGAGGGAGAACCCCGCTCTCGCCCGCATCACAATACCTCGTGGTACACTTTACAGGAATGGGCTCATGCCTAATGGATTGTCCTATTTACCCCATTCTCCAGTGTCTCATTTGGTTCCCATTTTTTCACTATTAAAACAAAAGTGCAGAACAGACATTGTTGGTAAAAGTACACATTTTAAAAAATTAGTAAAATCTCTCAATTGCCCCACATTCCACATTCTGAAAAACAGGCAAAAAACGTGTGAAGACTCATCAAAGCTTGTGAAACAGCTGCATGGTGCACCAGAATTTGTTATCTACAAAAAAAGCCCTGTGTCTAGAAGGTTCATGCTCCTTTAAGCTGACCCAGCTTGCCCTGAACCAATCATTTTTGAGTATCTAGGAATGCAGTCAATGCAGCTCAGACAGGAAGCCCACAGGCCTGGCCCTGCCCTGGGAGGCCTCAGTGGCCTTCCTTTGGGGTGGCCAGCCTGGGAGGGGCAGAGGGAAGGGCTGAGGGAGTCCCTGTGAGGAGGAAAGAAGTGTGGTTTGCCCTGCTGGGTCTCAAAGGCAACACGAAGAGAACTGAAGAAAGCTCCTGACTGGCTGACGGAGGGGTTCCGGTGTCAACACGCATCCGTCCCTGCTCTGTACGTCGTCTGTGTCCGCGTGTGTAGGTTTTATCGTGGTAGCAGTAGATGGGTGACGTTTTCTCACCATTCCTAACGTTGTAACGTGACATAAACACAGAAAGAAGACAAAACCCCACAAAACTCTTCCTGCCATGGGCTTGCAGATTGAAGCACTTTTGATGTCGGGCGCTGGCGTTTGTGTTCTGGGCACCATCCCGACCCTGCCCAGATCGCTATAATATTATTTTATACACAGAACTTTTTTTTCATAAATGGTTTAATTTTGTGTCTGTCTTTATAAACTATTATAAGTACTATTTTTGTTATAATTCAAAATAGATATTTAGTATAAAGTTTTTGCTGTTAAATATTTGTTATTTAGTAAAATATGAATTTTTTTCTCTATTGTAAACATGGTTCAAATAATGTTTTTATCACAGTTGTTTTAATATTGAAAAAGCACTTGTGTGTTCTGTTTCGATATGAAACTGGTGCCGTATGTGTGTTTTTGCTGTCATGTGGTTTTAATCTGTATATAATACTCCATCTTGCATATTAAAAAAATGAATGTTGTGCATTTTGTGATTTTGGAGATACTCGGCATTGCTCTTTCATAGGCTTCCATAATAAACCATGGGGATGCACCCTCGTTTGGCTCTCTAGTCTCTGCCTTCTCAGCCTCAGTGCAGGGATCCTGCTGGCCAGCTGCATTCCCTTCAGCAGTGCCTAGTCCCACCTGTCAGGTGGGAAGTTTTTCCCTGAAATGTTGGTCCTGTGAGGCCAGCTTACCATTCCTGTGGGTAGGCACAGAGACGTCCATGGCAGTCTGCAAGAGGTAGTAGGGTCCGCTGGTGAGGGAAAGCTATAGCCAGACAGCCACTGCCCTAGAGGCCTGTCGGGGGTGCAGCAGCAGGGAGCCAGCTCTCCGGGACCAGGGCGGCTGCCATGGTGGAGACACTTGCCTCAGTCCTGCGCCTGGCCTCAGAATCCATCTTCTTACACTTGAGTGAGGACACTGGTATCCACAGCCACGTGGCAAACTGGAGAGCAGAATTCAGTTCTGTTAGCCTCATGCCCCACAAGGCATTTCTCAAAGCCTGTTTCATGGGTGCTGCAGGAGCAAATAGATGCCTTGATCAAATAAATTTGAGGAAGGGGTTAAACAGCGGGCAGATTTCTTTCCTGCAGGACTTACCAGGACGTTGAGCCTGAGGAAGGAGAACGCTAAGGGGCTGTACAGTGTAGCATGGACACAAGTTGCAAGGCTCACCAACCCATCTGATGACTGACACTGTCCTCTTCATCAGGTATCACACTTTTGAGAAAAGCCTTTCCACAGCCTGCCCCAGAGCCTGGAGGTAAGGCTGGCAAAGGGTGTGACGTCCAAGGAATGTCCAGGGCAGGTCCCAGGACAGAGGGGCTGTGCGTGGAGAGGGAGAGGGAGAGGGAAGGAAGCCAGGGCCTTGAGCCCCAGAGTCACACCAGGAACCAGGAAGGGCGCAGCCCCAGCAAGCGCAAGGCCTCAGAGCATCCCAGGTGGTGCGAGCTGCTGCCACCCCCACCCTGCCCTGAACTGGCCTGAGCAAGGCCTTTCTGTGGCTGTGGTGTTTCTTCCCAATGCAGTCAGACTTGGCTCAGAGGCCCTGAGCCCAGACACACTGGAGGTGGGGCACAGGACCTCCTCACACCTGGGTCATGGAGCCTGGCCACCCAGAAGAGAATCCCCAACACCTTCTGAATGACGCCCCCAGGGCAGGATTCCCAGCAATCCCTGACCACCCTGTCTTTGGCCCCGGCCTCCTTCCTGCTTCACCTGCCCAGCCCTCTGCTGCCAGGGCTGCTCTGCCGGAGGCCTAACCTACGCTTCTGTGACAAGGAGTTCTGTGAGATAAAGCAGAGTCTCAGAGTGGCAGGGACTTTTCCAAGGACACACAGAAGTGCAGGTTAGTCCCCAGACCAGAGCTGTCCCTCCAGCACATGCCCACTGGGAGGGGTTCCTTCAGACAGGCCTCCACGCTGAGGAAGAAACAGTCACCCCCAGCTTCTATGGGGAAACATTCCAGTGGAAGGTAGTAGTTTTTCAGAGTGTAAATTCCGTCTCTCCCGGTGGAATGTCCTCTGTGGGAGCAGAGGTGAAGGAAGCGTGGTCTTTGGGCTGCCCGCAGTCTGACCGCCCTGCCGCGGGGTGGGAGGGCCCAGCTGGGCGGATGGCTGCCTGTCATCACGCAGTCTGTCCTTGCCTCTCCCCTTGGGCCTGGCCGGTCGGTGACATCCCCCACAGGCTGCTTGCCCTTGGGATCTTCTGGCCTGGAAGGAGAACACAGGCTGTTGTGGACAGGCAAACACGGCCGCTGTTTGTCTAGGGATTGGGGCGCCAGTGTGGAGGCAACTCACAGACCACACATTCTACCACCTCCCAGCGCTTTTCCAAAACAGCCTGGCTTTGGCTGGGCCTGGCTGCCTGGGGTGGCCGGGGGCTGGGAGCCAGGAACAGGGCAGGGGCAAGCAGGGCCTTGGGGCCAGCAGGGTGAGGTAACCAGGTGAGGGCTGAGATAGCCCTTTGCCAGAGCCAGCCTGCTCGGCTTTGACGTGCCTTGGAGGTGAAAGAGAGAGAGGGGGAGAATGACTCTGTGCGTCTGTGCTAGGGGCTAAAGGAAAAATAAACTTGACTTGCCTGAGTCTTCAGGCTGAGCCAGCTAGGCCCCATGCCGCGTAGAAGCTCTAGGGCACCAAGTATGGTGCAGATGAACTGATGGTGGAACAGCGGGCAGGGACTTGGGTTCAGGTCTGCATCTCCCACCTGACTTACTTTCACTAGAAGAGATTGGTCTGGGCCAGGGTTTGGCCTCCACTGGCCTTGCCCATCACCCCCTAAGGACTCTGACTTCCCAGGAGACACTACCCAACCTCTTGAGCCTTGGCCTCCTCCTAATAATGAGAATGCTCACCCTCTAACCCCCAGCCTTATTGCTCTAAGACTCTGGTCTTTCCAACTGATCCCCAATTCTGCCTAGCAGATGAGTGACAGATGACTTCCATGGGAGTGTGGCACTCTGTTACCACCCCTGGAGCCTACTGTGATACAGCTCTGGATGCTGGCTGAGGCATGGCGGAATTCCTTGGCTGCCAGTAGCCATATGCCCCGGTTGCTGGCCCTACCTGAAGGCATCCAGCTCCGTGGAAGGGAAAGTTGGTGGTCTGGGAGGCAGATGTGCCTGGGCAGTACCTACCTGCTTGATTTAGAAGTGCTCCCTCCTCTTCAATTTTTGGGAAAGATTTGAAGAGGATTGGTATTAATATTCTCTAAGTATGTGGAAGGAATGACCAATGAAGTCATCTGGTCATGGGATTTTCTTTGTTGTAAGGTGACTTGCTAATATTTTGTTGATGATTTTTGCATCTATGTTTATGAGAGATAATATTCAGTTGTTTTCTTTTTTTGTACCATCTTTTTCTGGTTTTGGTATCAGAGTAATGGCCTTACAAAATGTATTAGGAGGTATTCTCTCCTTTTCTATTTTTTGGAAGAGGCTCTGTAAAATTGGTGTTCATTCTTCTTTAAATATTTGGTAGAGTTCTCCAGTAAAATCACGTATGGCTGGACATTTCTGTTTTGGGAGCTTTTCAATAATAAATCCAATTTCTTTAATGGTTGTAGGACTACTTTAGATTATTTATTTCATCTTTGTTGAGTTTTAGTAGTTTATGGTTTGGGTGGATTTGGTTCTTAATTGTTGAATTTGTGAGTGTAAAGTTTTAGTGTTCCCTTATCATTTTTATAATGGCTGTAGTATCTGCAGTGATACTCCCTGTTTCATTCCTGATATTAATGATTTATGCCTTCTCTCTTTTTATTTTTGTCAATCTTGTTAGAATTTTATCAATTTTATTGAGTTTTTTGAAGAGGGAGCTTTTTTTTCATTGATTTTATTATCTTCCTGTTTCCAATTTTACTGATTTCTACTTTTATCTTTATTATTTTCTTCTTTTTGCTTGGTTTGGGTTTCTTTTGCTCTTTTTTTTTCTAGTTTCTTGGAGTAGGAATTTAGATTATTGATTTGAGGACTTCTTTTCTAATGTATTCAGTTAGTGGTATGATTTTTTCCTCTCAGTGCTGTTTTAGCAGCATTCTACATATTTTGATAGGTCATATTTTTATTTTCATGCAGTCTTCTGTATTTTTAATTTCCTTGATATTTTCCCTTTGACCCTTGGATTATTTAGAAGTATGTTGTTTGATTGCCCAGTGATTAGAGATTTTTCTGTTATCTTTTCTTAATGTTTGTTAGTTTGATTCCATTATGGCTAGAGAACATATTTTGTATGATTTCAATCCTCTTAAAATTGTTGAGGTTTGTTTTATGGCCAAGGATATCAACTATCTTGGTTAAAAGTATGTGTAGTCTGCTATTTTTGAGTGCAGTATTCTATATATCTCAATTAGAATTTGTTCAGATCTTCTATATCTTCTGTAGACTGTGCCACCTGATGCTTTTAGGTAGGAGAAGGGAGTCTCTGACCTGCAGGGTAAAGAGCTCTTTCAGGGTTGGACCCTTACTGTGGCAGGATAGTCCCCTTCTGTGAGCAAAAGAGAGAGCTTCCCAGGCCAGGTGGCCAGCTGTGGCAAAATCACTCAATCTGGTGCCACTTGGACTCCTGGTGTCTCTGGGTGGGGGAGGGGAATATCAGGCCTGCAGGATGAAGATACTTCCCAGGCTGGGTGCTTGTCTTGATTATTACAAATACATAAGTCTTAAAATTGGGTGGAATTATTCCTTCCACATTATTACTCTTTTTCAACATTGTCTTAGCTAATCTCATTCTTTTGCTTTTTGATATACATTTTAGAATGAGGTTGTCTATATCTACAAAAGCTCTTGCTGGGATTTTGATAGTGCCATATAATGATTTATAAGGAATCTATATTTGGTCATTCAGATGACCAAAACATATTTCTCAGATATATTTGGTCATCTTCCACAATTCCTGAAAATGCCTCAGAGACATAAAGTGAAACAAGTGTCCTGTTTTATCAGTGAGGAGCCTTGGACCCACTCAAGGATGGGCTGGCTGCCGGTGGGCCCAGCTGTGTGATTAGATGGTGGGAGCTTTCAGCCCCCTGCCCCCAGCCCCTTAGTAAGTCATGACCATTCAATGAAGCCTTAACAAAAACCCTTGAGGAAAGCATTTCTCCCTCTCTTGTACCCTGCTCTCCTGCCTGAGAGAGCGCTTCCACACTTGGGAACCAGAACGCTTCTATGTGCTGCTGAGACAAGCCCCCGGGGTCTGAGGCTAGAAGCTCCTTCACTTGGGACCTTGCCCTGTGCATCCCTTCATCTGGCTATTGACCCGCATCCCTTACAGTATCCTTTATTAAATTTATAAATAGTGTTTTCCTGAGTTCTGTGATCTGCTCCAGCAAATTAATCGAGCCTAAGGGGGAAATCGTTGGAACCTCTTATCTGTAGCCAATGGGTCAGAAGCACAAATAATAGCCTGGGTCTTGTGACCAGCAACCGGAGTAGGGGGAGGAAGACAGTCTTGTAGAACAGAGCTCTTCACCTGGGGAATCTGCTGCCATCTCCAGACAGTGTCAAAATTGAGTTGAGTTGAATTCTCAGACATCCTGCTGGTATTTGAAAATTGCTT